AGGGTTTCTCTGTGTAGCCCTGTCTGTCCGGGACTCATTTTGTAGGCAGGCTAGCCTGGAACTCACCGAGATCCACCTGCCTCTGTCTCCTGAGTGCTGGGCTCCAGACCAAGAGCTTTGCTTTAAGGCAAAGTGTACCAAGCATGGTGCCAAAAGGAGCCAGCAGTGAGCTGTGGGGGCTGAGGAACCCTCTGGAAGCCTGTTTGATGTCTGAATGCTGTTCTTAGAAAGAAGACAGGTTCGGCAGAGCCAGCCACCACCTTCCTGTATCAAGCCTTCCTGGGCCACACCATTGACCTTTGTTGATCTTGTCCTATGAGACAGGAAGTTGCCAAGAGTGGACCGTGGACCAGGTACAGATTGCTGTGCACTGGTGTGTGTGTGTGTGTGTGTGTGTGTGTGTGTGTGTGTGTGAGCATGTGTGTGTGCCCTTTCACAGGGGCACTTGCTAGCGAGCCTAGAAGCAGGGAATCATTTCATGCCCACAGGCTGCTTCTGAATTGCAGAGGAGAGCATTCTCCATGCTAATCTTACAGGTGGTTGCTAAAAACTCCAATGTGTTAGAAATCACCTCAGAAATGACGAAAGTGGCCCAGGAAAGCAGCAATGCGACACCAGAAAACTCCTGAGAGAGCGAGAGAGCAGAGAAAGCACCGGGACTGCAATTTCCTCTTCCAGGGAAAAGGCTTGACAAAATCCCGGAGGCGGGAAGATGAGAGAACTTTCCATTAAAGATCTCAGATGTTCAAACGATGCCAAAGGAAGAAGGCTCTGGGCCAAGACGACACAGAACCTGAATACTTCTCTGAACCAAGCAGAAATGGTGACGCAAGTCTGACCACTCACCAAGAGCGATACTCACTCTTTTTCCATCCATTTGGAGTAAGTTTAATGAACAAGCTGTGCGACCTTAGTTGGAATATATATATATATCCACAGACGGTGAGGGCTGGGCACTTTTCTGAAATACTTATGGTCAAATAAAAGGCACAAAAGTCACACACATACACAAAAAAACCCCTTGATATCATTTAAACATATTGCAGCAAAAATGTTTTCTTAGAGCAGGAATAGAAAACTCACATGCAATCATTAACTCCCCTCAACACAGCGGCAAGGCAGGTAGAAGGCAGATGCGTTAATAGTTGTGGAAAAAAATTGTTATTTTTAGAGCAGTGAGATGGCTCAGCTGGCAAGCCTGGTGAGTTCAAGCCCTGGAGCTCACATAAAGGAGAACCTTCCACAGAGTTCTCCTGACCTCCATCGTGCATCCTGGGGCACAGGTGCCCACACACACACAC